TGATGGTTTCTCCTCCAGCGTCTGAATTCCCAAGTACCGGGTTGGCAGCCCTGATTTCCAAACTTAGTTTTTCAATCTCTCCAAAAATCATCTTCGAGCTTACACCGGAAGTTCAGAGCCAGATGGCGGTGGCTCAGGCTGATCGCGAATTATAGAATCAAGAGGCGTTGTCTGACTGGAATGAAATAAGCAGTTTTGCACATCTCCCACTCAGACGAAACACCCACAGCCTTGGCCTCCCTCCGATGCTCTTTTCCAAGGTCAATGACATTTTATCGTTCTTGATGTGGGTCAAGACATGCTGCATCAGAAGTTCAGCAAGACTTCCTTCAGCTTTTTGTGGTGCAGGGACAAATCACCTTTCTCAAAGCCGAAGCCGGTTTGTAGTCCTTGGTCGACGTGCAGAAACCACACTTAGATTCACATTTGGAGATGGATAAGGTGCCTGATCGCGGCCAGTCATGGGTGTGAGAAGGGATGCGGCAAGGCATCTCGACTGCACTCGGGAGAATCGTTGAAGATATGCGACAATTGGAAGGAATCGCGTCGCACAGAATATCAGGCCCGCTGTAATCTCATGAAGCAGAGAAGAAGATGGAGAAGCTCTCCGAGGATCTTAAAGGGTGATCGTGAGTTGGCCTGATCAGGGCTTGCAGATCACTGCGATGGTGCTTGAGAACGCTGGAGACCAAAAACTAGTTCTAAGCCGGTATCCTTCCCTGCGGACGCCAACCATGCATTAGCGTAAATTCATCTGGGGTGCTTGAGAACGCTGGAGACCAAAAACTAGTTCTAAGCCGGTATCCTTCCCTGCGGACGCCAACCATGCATTAGCGTAAATTCATCTGGGGTGCTTGAGAACGCTGGAGAGCAAAAATTAGTTTTTACCCGACTTTCTTCGTATCCATCTGTGGTGCTTGAGAACGCTCGAGAGTGAAAACTAGTTTTCAATCGGTTTTCTTCCCTGCGGCCGCTGGCAGTGCATTAGCGCAGATCCATCTACTAAGCACTCTAGGGTGTTTGGGTGAACTTCAAACTGCAGTGCAGCCTCGGCACTGCAGCCTTATGCCCGTACTAGTATGCGCGGTTCACATGAAAGAATAACTCGGGCTTCTGCTGCTGTATCTGGCGGATGCGATGGTGATCCTTACAAGCTGGCAAGTACCGGGATAAAACTAATTTTTCGAGTCCATGAGAGCATACGTGAGCGAGATTGAGGCTTACCTGGTCGGACACCGTCCAGTCATAGGTCCAGTTGCCGTCCGAGTAGAGGTATCGCAACTAGTTTTCGGATACCATTGAGTATATATACCATCTCAAATATCTTCCTTAATCGAAACCATCGGTTCGTCCGTTCCAGCCTTCTTTACAGTCACAACAAGCTTGGTCTCTCGGCCAACTTTCCATCCCGCGCAGAATCCAAACCCATATCCTGCCGTGTTTACAGAGAGAGTACGGCAGCAGCAAGCGCCATGATGTTCCCCATCGTCAACGGGATGCTGGCCCAAAACACAACACAGCTACACGGAGCACTAGCCCGACGCAACACTTCTTTCTCCACAGCAACTCCTTTTCCATTCCCGACCAAGTCTCAATGGAGCCCCGGCGACATCAGCACTCTCGTCTTCGGCTGCATTGCTTCAGTCCTTGGAGTGCTTACCCTTTGGGCGACTTTTTGGCTAGGTCGTCGACGCGCTTTGCGTGTGGTTGGAAACGGTATGTACTTCGACGGGAAACGTGACGAACTTACTAACCATATTGCCGATAGACGAATGCCGTGAGTTTGGGGCCACGTTCGACAGCGATCCATATCTCGAGCACGTCGTCCTTGAGCGAGGCCCATAGATTGTCGACTTCACAGATAACACGGAAGCGTCATGCAACCCTCAATATGGTGAAGTTGGCAGCAGATGGATTATTTCTCAGGTGGTGTATGATTAGAAACCCAATTTTCGGTCGCAATGCGGTAGGGCACGAATGATAGAGGCACAACGGAGGGGCAAATAGGGACCGGACTTGTTGCTTGAAATATGTAGCTACCTTATCAAGTGCAATCGGCCATGGATCTCCGCTGTGCTCATAGACTAACATCTTTTGTATTAGTTCGTTTTCTAAGTTCACACCATCCACAATAAGTAAGTCCACCGAACGCTCGAGGGGGTTTTATCTGTAAGCACGGCCACACTGTCGGACAGCCACAACTGTCGGACAGCCACAACTGTCTGACAGCCACAACCGTCCGGCTAATCAGCCACAGCCGTCCGGTTGAGAATCTTGTTAAGCGAAGATTGGCCGGCAATTCAGCCACAGGGATTACTCGTAGATACGGGGGAAACTCCGGAAATGCCACCTACTCACCAGAAGTGTCCGCCCGGCATGACGGTCCCATGCATCTGGGCCCAATGCGGCCATCACTTGCCTTGTTTTTTGATGTAGCAGACCATCGTCAGCCAAGTAAATCGCTCGGAGCGCGTGATCAGGCTACCGCAATGCCAGTATTAAAGTGGCCCGATAGTCCCACTCTTCGTGCTCCTCATCTCACTCTTTTCACACCCTAAATCAGATACGATCAAAAGAGAGGTGTTTCGAACCGCATCGATATCAATATGACCTACAAACAGCACACCATGTTCTTACTCTTCTGTCTCGTCGGATTGGGTCTCGCCCTACCCTTTCCTCCTTCCTCTCAAGCAAATCTCACCACCTCGACTTCAGCTTCCCTATCCTCCTCTTCCTATATTCAGACAGCCAGCACTGCGGCACCATCAGTCAGCCTAGCTCCGAGTCATCTATCAGCAGCTACCAAGTCAGTCGCTACCAATCATACCATACCCTCACAACCAGCATTTCCCACACTAGGTCCGCCTCAATGGAGCGCTGGAGACATTAGTACTATTGTGTTTGGTTGCATCGCTTCGATCCTCGGAGTCCTCGCTTTGTATCTGACGCTTTGGCTTGGCCGACGGGGCCCTGGATATTTGACAAGATATGGTATGTATTCTATGCTGGGCTTGAACTCCAGTGCTTCGCTGATTGTCTTCTCGTCACAGACGTTGAAACCGGCATTGGCGTAGCACCCGATGATAGCGACCTGCCACTCGAAGACCTCGCGCGGGACACCGGCACCGACAGCGAAGTCGCCGCAACATAAAGACATCAAAGGGTCCCGGAGACATTTATGGACGAGCGGGAAAGAAGAGGATAGTGGCATCTTTTGAGTATCAAAAATAGATGCAGAAATCCTTCGTCGAAGGAAGAAGACACACCCAAACCGGGAAAATGAAGGTGATAGTGAATATGTAGCCCAATTAGCTTCCAGCACCACCATCGTTCGTGATATACGTCATAATGCGCTGCATAAAAATGCCAGCCAAACTTCTTCCGGAAGTAAGAATTAAACCCTTCCTCAGATTCGAAAGTAACTCGTAATCTTTGATCGAATCGCAGACTCTGCATTCAGATTTGCATTTGGACATCAACAAGGTGTCCGATCACGGTCACTCATGTGCGCGGAAAAGACTGTGACACGGTATCTGACCACGCTTCAAAAGCGCGATCAAATTGATGTTGCAAGATACATTGCGAAAGAAAACCGTGGGTGTTTTGCAGAGCGGACAACCCGGGCGCGCAAAGTGCTATGACGCAGCTATGAGCACTGCCATTGAGACGGCCAGTCAGAGCCTCACCGCTTCCTTAAGCTGATCATGGCTTACGACGTGCCATGGTTACTATCAGGATCATGATGAGAGAACTGAGACAATTCAGACAATTGCATGTGTTGGTTGCAGGAGGAAGAAATAAACGTGGTCCCACCACTAAGATCGCTCCTAAGCGAGCATCCGAGGGGTGGGGCCAGCATTAGTCTTAAGTCACCTCAACGTGCATTAGCGTACCGGCAGCAGAGGGTGGGGCGGCAGAGTAGGTACGCAGTGATCTGGATCCTTGGCGGTACCTAGGTACTAGGACGTCCGCTGGAAACCGTCTGTTGATGACACTTGCGAGGATTCGAAGCTTTGGATGCGCCGTCCAAGTCCAACATATGCAGAGCCAAAACCCAGAGCATTGCGGGCAATCGTACCCTCGTCTGCTTGTGGTATGCGTCATGAGTATGGTAGCATCAGCAATCGTTAGCTGCCACCTCGTGGGGTGCGCAAGACGGCTTCCGCCCGGAGACGATCCGTTACCCACATTCTCATCTTTACCTAGATCCTTTCCGTGATGGCGCTGGACCAGGATACCCCCTGGCTCAGAGCTTTTGGGTACATTGAAAGCTTGAGGGTTTGTTCTGCCAAGTCGCGCGCACACCCGCTCCTCAAGGTGGAAGGATGTTTGGGTCTAGCCCTAGCAAAGGAACTGGCACCCGGGTTCCGTAACTAAAAGACTGGTTGGACGCGCCGTATCATCCTGCGGGTCAAAGCGCGCCACGGAGAAAAAGCGCACTAGCGCCCCCCAGCCTCCAATACAGGCCGTCAAGCGAAATTAAGAGTCCTCGAAGAGGCTTAGTCTATAGACGTTGAGGCAAGAAATCGACATCGACTAATGCATGCCCCCTGCACGACATGCTTCTCTTGAGACCCACCAGGCTGATCTTGCTGACGACCAATCAGCACCCCGTTTTTGGAATATGCGAACCTGAGCCCGTGGCACCGTACTCAAATGCCTTTTATTCAGATGTGAGGGTCGCGCTGGATGACCGTCCAGTCGTAAATCCAGTTGCCCCTCGATCATGGCTGCAGCAGCTCCTTCTCGTCTGCTCTGCCACGCTTATATAGTTGTTCCCAGTCCCCTTCTTTCTCCGACATCTGAAAATCCATCTCGCCCAGCTTGACCTGCCTTTTGGTCTGCCATCCATTCTCTTCCGCAACCACAGAAGCTTCTCTCTTCGCCAAGCTCTGCATATCTTCGTCCAAGCACACTTCTTGAAGGACCACCCACCCCTCGCAAATCTTGCTGCAAGCACTGTCCCACAAGAGACGACGATGTTGCACGTCATCAACAGAATGCTGCCCGACAACACGACCCAGACCCCAGAGCCACCGCCCACATCCAACGCTTCTTCATCAACCATTACCTCCCTCAACTTCCAGCAAGGCTCGCAATGGGGCCCCAGCGGTATCGGCACGGTAGTTTTCGGCTGTGTTGCTTCGGTTCTCGGAATCCTTGCACTATGGATGATGTTCTGGCTTTGGCAGAGGGAACCTGCTCATGCCGTAAGACCTGGTATGCTCTTTGCTCTTTGCCCTTTGCTCTTTGCCCTTTGCCCTTTGCCCTTTGCCCTTTGCCCTTTGCCCTTTGCCCTTTGCCCTTTGCCCTTTGCCCTTTGCCCTTTGCCCTTTGCCCTTTGCCCTTTGCCCTTTGCCCTTTGCCCTTTGCCCCTTGCTTCAGACGCTTGGCTAACAAGCGTGATCGGTAGATGAGAACATGGATTCACAACATCGGCACGCAGACGCAGCGGCCTCGGATGACGACGTGGCCCTTGGATATCTGCCTCATGATGGAGATGCGGACCCTGACGCGACGGAAGGGCATCGGAGGGATGCGGGGGTTGACACGGAAGCATGAGGATGACGAGGGTGGCGGAGACCTTTGAACACGGGTCAAGATGAAGGAGGTTGTGAAAAGGTCAGGATGCGTGACACGTCGGGTTTGAATATTCTAGTATTGGGACCTGCCCTCAGACCATGCGGTCCTGTCATTTTAGAACATGAATGATAGAAGCGGAAGATGCAGTGCTCATACAATAGGGCTAGAAGCAAGCAAGACATGAAAGACTTTTGTCGCTCTGTAAGAACTAAGTAAAGTGAGAAGGTCCACCAGGGACGGGAACTTATTATATAACAGTATTGAGGAGATGTCGTAGGAAATAGCGCCAGATGTCAGTGGCCTAGCTGCTTCGTTCGGCCTCGCTCAGCGATGGCGGTCATGTGGTCTCTGGGATCAACGGCGCCTCAGGTTCCTCTTCCTGACCAGGACATATGAACGGGAATTATTGAAGGGCCCACCTGTAACGTAGAAGGAGTTAGTATTCATGCGTGGCAATGCGACCCCACAGCCTTGACGGGTGCACTGATTACCTCTCACCACATGCATTCGCTTCCTGGTCGGCCGCATCAACGGCGCCTTTTCTCACTCCGAGTATGCCCCTCTTCACGCATAAAATACTGTATGTGATCGAGGTTAATATCCATGTCGGCCTCAGTGTCAATGTCGTAATGATCCTTGAGCTTGGTGCGTGAAGGCTGCTTTGTCGGTGTGGCAAGTAGTGAAGATGAGTCATTGCGACGAGGGAAGCTGATGGCTGGGGTCAATGGCGATGCCGGGCAATTGAAACCTGAAGACGTGGGTTGGGTCGCAGCGATAGTGCGTGTCCTGCCCGCACTGGTATTCTGTTGGTGTCCAGATTGGCCCACGAGCGGCTTGGGGGATGAATAAGCATGCCAGTTCCCATCAGCCGTCAGGCTGCTTGAGACCGCCGTTTGGCCATCGCACGCATCCGAATGAGCAGAGGTTGAGCCATCACAGGGCACATGAGAAGGCAATTGTGGTGGCGCCCAGGCATTGCTGCTACATGAAGGAAGTCCAAGCTCCATGTCGCGCTGGGCCCGATCTGTCATCATCAATTCTCGCGACGAGTTATTCCGATATGCTGTAGGGTTGGCGTTTACCGCGCCTGGACTGAAATGGCTGGTTGCGATCGAACCCCATGCGGGATTCTGGGCTTGGAATGCGGTGTTCATCATCCCACCATTGTAGACTGAGCTTTGGTTCGGAGTAACGTGCATCTGTGCTAAGGTAGCTTGAGGCTGAATGATCGGCAGGTTATGATGGATGCTCAGATCCTGATTGGAGAAGCCCGCAACAGGCATGGAATCAAGCTGGGTGTTTTGTATCCAGTCGTAGGTACTCTCGTTGAAAGCGGCTAATGCGAGATTGTTGGCCGTCTCTTCGCGTTTCTCTAATCTGAGTTGTAGACTCTTGGCCGTGGCGGGACTCCAGCGAAAGCCTGAACCAATGTATTGGGAATGTACTGCCAGTATGTTTCGCCATGACTCTTGGACCCCGGGTTGGAGCAGTAGACCCCGGATGACCTTATCGGAGTCCCACTCGCGGATATGTTGGTGTTTCTTATAGTGAGCACTGTCAATATGGTTCAATTGATCCGTATGTGAGTGGAAGCAAGTGATGCAGAATCCACACGAGAAATATTTCTTGTCCAGTGTGTCCCGCCATCCCTCGGCTAAAGCGGAGCCATCTGCAACGTCGTGAGTCTTGAGGTGGCTGATGAGATGAGACTTCCTGGTGTAACTTCGGGTTACCAAGGTCTGGTTTGAGCAGCACGGTAGTATCTTGTGCGAGTCGTAGTGTCTTTCGTCTGGGTTCAAAACCCCGCATAGCACACACTCTGGACCGTGTGCTGTATATCTCTCACGCCCCTGTGGCATGCATGGGTATCTCGTCTCATGCTCTTTCATATGTCTCTTCCATCCATCGCAGGTAGTAACACCCCGAGGATTTTCGCAGACAAAGCACCAATGGGTATGTGCGCCAGCGAAAGGCAGTGAGGCAGTGGTCTCGTCGATCGAAGGCTCTCGAGAGAGATCAAGGAAAGTTCCTCTACTCCACGAACTGCGTTGTGTACTAGGACTGGTGCAACTGTCGTAAGGAGACACGGAGGGGCCGAAAGAGCTGGATGAGGATCTGGAAGTATTTGACGATCCTCGCCATGTATTGCGCGTCGATGTTAGGGCGGCTCTCTGGACAGCGAGGTAGCTGCTATCATAGTAATTGTGAAGCGCATGGAAACTTCCTACGCCATGGCATTAGAGGATTGGCTTTATTTCTGACAGTGGGATGAATACTGACCGCTGCAGCGAACAGTATCGAGCCATACTGAAATGAGGTTATCGGTATAATCCTCCAACGCGGAAATTGCTTTTAGTTGCTGGGGCGAGAGGCAAGCAGGCTGGAACCAATTGTCGCCGCCCGGTTTGAAGGAACGAAACCCTGTGAGCCAGGCAAAGATGGTTTGGTTGTCATAGTCTTGAAGGGTTGAAAGAGCAGCTTGCTGAGCAGGCGAAGGGAAATCCGACGAGTTTTGTTCATTGCCAACTTCATCCCCACATGTGGTCGCCGATGCAGGTCGCTGCTTGATCGTGTCCTGGTGCTCTCGGCGAGATTGCAGAGAATGTTGATAAGGGTGAGCGGGGCTGGCTAACGAGCTGCCTAATGAGGCATCGTGTTCTTGGAAGGATCGTGGGGGCGAAATTGGGGTGACGGAAGCATAATTCTCCATGTCCGATACTCAATGATCACTAGTTCGAACGAGTGACAGACTTTGTGAAGCACCTCCAGGATGTAACGCAGTGCTAGAGGAGAGTAAAAGAGACATAGTGATGAATATATGTTCGCAGTATTGATGACGGTCATGTCAGCATGGTCTTTCTCGGAGGAAAATTGGCTTTCTTCGATCATCATCTTTTGGCTGCCACTAGGATTGTTTGGCAGGATGAAAATTACAGTCATTAGTGAGTTTCATATTGTGAAGCATACGACAGATTTCGCGCTTCCAGATCATAGGGTTTCTTGATGTTACTCGCATGAGTGACACACTATTGCAAGAAGCACACAATCCCGGTTCAAGAACGAAGAACCCAAAGCGGTCTCCAGCTGGAAGTTTATGTTGTGTACATGATTTCTCAGGGTTGATTTGTTGGGAGGTTGTCGCAATAATGGTGGTGAGTGGTGAGCCCTGCTCTTGTCCCTGGTCTACCGGAAGCTTGGCGGCCAATCCCTGTTGGCGGCGGCCACCTCGGGTATCTACATGAATAGATGGGGCGAACCTTCGCACGGGCTGCCCTGTCAAAGTTTGTTGGAACTACTTGCGGGTTGGGGGATACCACACAGCCGTGTCACGTACCTCGACATGTCGCCCACCCCCTAGCGAACATACAGATCTTTTCCTCTACCAGTACTTCACCGCTTGTTTCAATCCCTGTCTAGTTATAAATGGAGGCGGCCAATTCAATCTTCTAACTTTTGTTCCGTTTCTTGATTTCGACTCTATCTTCCGTGACTGTAAACTACCATCAGTATCGTTTCTGTCACATGCGGTCTTGGAGATTAATGCCAGCCCACCACAGTGCAATTTTTTGGGGAAGTTGCGCCAAGAAAGATTCACAAAGAAAACCTATCTTCATGTCGCTCATTTAAGGGAAGAGCTAGAGCCGCTGCCACGTGTCGTGCAAGGTTCAAAACGATGGCTGCCGAGCAGCGGGAAATTCAAATTCACTCGTTCGGATCTGGCAGGCAATATCTAGCTATCCTTGCACGCCCTAAGAGGACGAGGGATGAAGGATTGCGATCCCCGCGAAAATCATGGAGTTCTGTTGGACAAGGGCCCCTCGCAATCTAACGGTCAGCACTAAAACGGCTTGGAACGCAGGACTTGGTATCCAAATTGGCCCCTCTCGCTCCATTGAGAAAGTCGAGAAAAATAGAAAAAATTCAAGCAGACCGCCTGATTTTGCGTCATTCCCGCTTAGAAGTAAATGCAGAGCAGCACATCCTGGAATTTCTCCGCTTGGGCCAGTAACACGTATGCGCCGTTGAGTAAACATACAAAATGACCACCCTCTGGCTAGACTTTTTCTATACTTGAATAGCCATATTGGACTGTTAGGATGAAAATAAGGCAGATCTAGGCACGAAATGTTGAGACTTTTACCTTTGGAACAAGTTGGGTAACATTTTTCCATCCTTGCTTGACTTGCCGGAATGAAAAATCTCTTCACATTCACAGGGTACAGATTCTTCCCACGTTGGTTGAACAGTCTGCGCAGAGTGTAGGGATGGACTTGGTGCTGAACCGGGGGTGGTTTCGGGAACGCTATCAGCCGACATGGTAGGTAGCTGTACGTATTATTGGTCTTCTAGAAGCCTTTCTGATTGGGTGGGCTGCACCATCCCTGTTCGCAGCGCCCAGTTTATGATGCACCACACCGCAACACCAGTTCACCAACACTTTTGCGGACATGGTTGGGCGTTGCCTTTAATTGGACTCCAACTTCTCTGACCTTATCCGGAACCTTGACTCGATTGTTTGGAAGGATTTTATAAACGTCGATACCTTAGTGGTCCGTAGCGGCGCCTCACTTTCCTCCACCACACCATCCTCGGGAATAATGGGGTGGTCCACTTTCACCACTCATGAGGACCCAGAGTGGCGGTAGGATTCTCTCTTGCGACGAAACAGCCCACTGTTTTTGGTAGCTGCCGACTGACAGCGAAATAGCACGCTTGCTTGTAGTTGCCACCTGTTTGCTGTTGCAATTCCAACTCAGTTGTGAAAATTTCGATGCGGAACCCGAGATGCATACTCACTACTCAGCCGAGGGTCATTTGTTGTTAGAGCCGCAACCCTCGGCTGGTCGATTATCATTCAATGGCGAGACGGCCTGCTGTCAAGGATCTCGCCAGAGGGCACAGAGTGCTGGACGTTGACGATGAAAAATGCTAAACTTACGGACTTGAATGCTTGTTAGTCAGTGGGGAAGGCGCTGCCGAGCGTTGTTATACTGTCAAGAACACCAAGGTCTGCGCGGATGCCTGGGCATACCCATCGTGGTAAGTGAGGGAAACAGACGATGTAGAAGACTACGGAGGCAGGATATAGGTGAAATGGTGGTATGCTGACTGGGCTGGCGGTACCCATGATTGTGTGAAGAAAATAGAAAATAAATTGTTAATGACCTCACTCAGCCCTACACTACTCGTATCTACCGGGGTATGGAATCTTCAAAATCCGGTAAATCCGGGGGTGGGGATACCGGGGGATACTCCCCGGAAAACTTCAATCCCAACCCACCCTGAACCGAAAATCTGGCGAGTTCCCCCACCCCGTTACGCGGCGTAGGCCCAAAGATTGCGGGCAGACTTTATTGTACTACTATATAACCTTATCACTATGCAACGTCGCACTCGTTCCAATTGGGTCACTGTTGAAGACCGTCAGTATATCGTTACAGTAATTCGAACGGTCGTGTCGGACATTGCTCACCGCCATCCAAGGCTATTTCTAGACATCATGATGCATAGATCTATTCGCTCGCATTCCACCCGGTGCGCCCTCATCATCGTGAATCCGTCCGTGTACATGTTCGAGATCGAAGCCTTGCGATGCCGTCCCATCTTCAACAGATCTTTTTCGATATGCTCTCTTCCTCGTCTTATCTGTCGAAGAGCTCTCGCGAGCAACGGCCTCGGCGGGCGAGGATGCAGAGTCCCTCGGGCGTTTGAGGGTAGAACCAGTAGGTCCAAGTGCAGTATGGAGTTGAGGATTTGCAGACCAGTCAGACATCTCGTTACTCTTGTGATGGAACAATTTCTGGTCGCTGAAGGCAGGACTAGGGTTGATGTTGTAGCCATTCCAAGGGCCGTAGATTGACGGGTCGGCTGGGTAGAAAGTGTTGTCGTTGAACGGTGTCGTCGGCTGCGTACTGTCCTTATCATCGGTATCCGAAGGTATTGGCTTCCATGCTGGACTGTGATCGAGCGCAGGGACAGTGTTGAAATTCGACGTATGGGCTCCATAGGAACTTTGGTACCCCAAATTAGGTGCACTTGTAGGGATCTCAGAGGCTTGGTATTGTGGTGACGACCAGGGTGGGTACTGCACTGGTGTTTCACCTGATGCGACTGCGTGACCTTCAAATGGAGCCGAAAAGCCTTGACTGGTATGCTGATATGGTACTAGTAGGGTGTTCATGGTGGTAGCGGAAGCCATGGCATCATGTTGGGCGGGACACCAGTCGTACTCGGCACTGTCATATGCCGCCTTGGCCAGAGATTGTGGGGTCTCTTTGCCCGTGACACCCATTTCGAGTCTGTACTGTAAGTACTCACACCCAAGCTTATTCCATTTGGTTTCTGAGGGGCGAAAGGGATCAAATGACTCCAGAAGACGTTGCCAAGCTTCTTGAATCTCGGGCTGGAGAAGAAGGCCTTGTATCACCATGGTGAAATCCCAGTCATTGATGCTTTGTCCGTTCTCGAAGTGTTTGGCGCCGATATGTTTGAGACGATCCTGAAGAGACGAGAATAGGTGGATACAAAAGCCACACGACCACGCATTCTTAGAGGATTCGCATCGCCATTTTCCCGCCACGCAAATTCCATCCGTTGTACCGTGAACATCCTTTAGATGCCATACCATCTCATACCTTCTCTTGAATGAAGGACGGTCCTCTGCGATGACACATGGTGCAATGTTGTGTACCAGGTGATGGCTGTCGTCTTGATTGAGAGCACCACACAAAACGCACCTCCAACCGCCTTCTGTGATTTCGAAAAGTCCTTTAAGCATGCATACATACTTCGTCTCGTGTTCCTTCTCATGTTTTTTCCAGCCGTCGCTGTGTTGAAAGGAGTGATTGTCACAGACAGTGCACCAGTATGTGTGGTCTGTTTCCGTTGGCTTGACCAGTGCAAGTGTGCTATGTGTAGCCGCTCTTGAAAATGTCTGGCCTGGATCCAGGTGATTCTGGGCAGCTGCCAAGGCACTGTGTGGAATTTTGCTTAGGTGCGGAGATATCGCTTTGACCGGTTTGACAAGCGACCGGTGGCTAGACGTATGGTCAGATCTGGGCGACGGGCGTCGGGTCTGGCGTGACGAGGCGGCAGCTGCAAACCTAGAGGCCGGAAGACCAAGGCTTGGTGGAGATGCTTGGTTTGCTATCAATGCTGTCAGTCGCGTAACATTCTTGGGACACTTGTGAAGCAAATAAGTACATGACTCGAGCCACTGTAAGAGGCATTCACGCGAGCAATCTCTCAGAGTCGAAATTGCATGTATGACATGGATCGGAAGACTGCCGGGGCCGTCCCGGTGTCTCAAGCCTGGCTCAGTTGATTGAGAAAGCCTATGCCATGCAATGATATCGCTGTTGTGATGGTCTTTCAATGTTGCGAGAGCTTTTTCTTGTTCTGGAGTGGGGTCGCGAGAAGAAGTATTCCTTATCAATGAATCCTTCGGGAAAACGAAGGTGGGTGGAGAATTGACCAAAGAGGAAGAAGATGTGTTCTGGACCGTTGCTGTGCTTAGTGGCTGCAGATGGGCGTCGGACCTCATAAACTCCGAGGCTGGAGTACCCATCCTTTTTTTCCAGACATTGAAGGATGAAAGCGAAAGAATAGCACCAGATGTTATATAAATTCGAAAAGAGTGGGCAACGAATGAAATGAAAAATTCCGAAAGGAAATTGAAAAGACTAACTACTCGTCTCATGTCTCAGACGTTTTCCTCTCTCCGTCATACCGTTGAACAGCCATTAGCAACCCTGGCTGCCAGATCCACCGCTAACTTATCATAGCTTTACCTCGCTAACTTAACTTTGGTCCGGTCGCGGGCGCTCCCAAAGTTTCCGTGGTCGGAGAAGGCGGTGCCCTAGAACTCCAGAACAAAGAATGCTTGGGCGCAAGTATTACTTCAATTTGATGAGATGGCTCGGGAACCTCGTCTGTCTTCATGGCCCTGAACCTACAGCTTTCGCAGCTTGACCTCTCCCTTTTTTTTCAGATGCATCGCGTCTTTGGGCAGCAGCAGAATGGGTCGATGATGCAACATATTAGTACCTGCAGCAGATCCTCGCGTTAGATCTGACTGTGGGGGTTCATACCTGCTGGTCTTCCAGGCGGGTCAGGAAATGCCAGCGACTCGGGAGCGCTTTCCTGCAGAATAGCCAAGCAGAGTGGGCCATGTTCTCTGCAATGATCCGCTGCCTCAAAGAACCGAAAGACAAATGCTTGCATTAGCGCATGTTACTCTGCTTCTTATTCGCATGATGCCTAAAGCTAAGGTAGTAGCCGGAATCTAATGCCGCTGGACCATAGAATCCTTGGCGTTATGAGAGAAAGAGCGACGGCCTATTAGCATCGGACCGTATTTGAGCCAGATAAAAGGGCGGATTTTTTGCGCGAGCGATGAGAGGAGGAAGAAGCGAGGCGGTAAACGACCTATCTACCGAAACCCATTGGTAGAAATTCCACGAGGGGTAGCGAGTTGCGGTCAAGATTTGTAGGCGTTATTCTGGGCTGCCAAGGCTGTCACCAGTCAACCACATTAATTATTGTACATTTCAACCCTCAAACATCGTACAGACCCTGCTTTTACATTCGAGACCATCTCCATGCACCTCTAAGAGTTGTATTTAGCTGACAACGCTGTTTAGAAAAGATAACCGACCTGCAAAGTCTCCGGTTTCGTTTCGATTTTCAGGGTTACCGTCCGAGGATTAGTTCCCCCCCAAAATATTTAGAAAGGTGTGGAGGGGTTTTCTGGGGTACGCTCCCTCCTCGCGACATGAAGAAACGACTAGAGACGCGCTGATTAACACCCCAGATCCCGGGCCAGCGATTCGCCCAGCAACTCCATTTCACTTTCTGACCGGTTTTCAACGCTCCAGTCTCCCTTGGACTCCAAATTCCGCTTGTGTGACTATCTTGTACTAGGATGTAAACGCAAGCTCGGAGAACATTTCCTGCTGGAAGGAGGTTTAGGGAGCCAGAGAAGGGTACTATACGATGTTGCATAACCAGTCCACGTACCCACGGCCAACGTCGTCACCGCCAAAGCGACGGCCAACGACACACGAAAAAAACTCTGTTCGTCCAAAGGGTCACTGAACGTAAATGCGTTCTCTGCTCTTTCCGTTCTTCTCCTTTTTGTTTTGAAAGCATCCAGCTTGAACCCTCAATCTTCAAAGTACAATTTTCTCCACCGTGGGAAAACCCTTTCTTTTCAACGCCTCCATCTCTCCAATCGCTGATACTTAGTACCCATGATGAACATCCAAGTCGTCATTTTTATGATACTGGTTGTCGTAAGTTACGCCTCACGCCACCCACCGGGCTAATTACCGAATCAGACCCCAAAACTATGAATCCTTACTGAATAATACCTCTAATTACTGAATCATACCCCTACACCAAAGTTTAAGGCATGATTTAGTAATTTACCATTACTTGGAATATGATTTGATAATTTACTATTTATGGTAAAATCGCAAAGAAGAGAAGAGGATCCGCGGTCTAGGTTATTCGATTATAGAACTAAAAGGATTTCTTCAATCGCATTTAATGCGTAATCTATCAGCTTAGATACGTTAGACGAAAGTCGAGTGAGCTAAATTTAGTCTCTTAATCTATCTATATCTAGCCTACGAGTATAGCTCTCACATATACTTCTAATTTCATCTTCAATAGTCTATATAGATATAGACATCTAAATTTTACTCTTAATGGATAATATAGATATAGATATCTAGTTATATCTATAAGTAGACTATTTAAATAGGCTATTTAAGTAGGCTATTCAAGTAGACTATTCAAGTAGATTATCATGATAAGTTTAATAAATTATCGAATCATACCCCAAGCAATGGCAACTTACCGAATCATATCCCTAAGGGTATGATTCAGTAATTAGGGGTATGGTTCGGTAAGGATTTATAGTTTTAGGGTATGAATTAGTAATTAGCCCGCCACCCACCCGCTCGCCATGTCCTCGAATCCGACCCCGAAAGCATTCGCGGGAACCACTCAGCCACTGGCTCTCAACACGTCGCCGCCGTTCATCAAGACACTCACTCGACCCTTCTTACCCGCACGAAGCGTTCACGAACCAACAAAATAACTCTCTCGCCCGAACCAGCACCACCTCCCTCCAGCAAACCCGACAACAGCACCAAGACCACCACCACTCTTCCCATCCAGCACCCATCTCCGACCATACCCTCCTGGATCCCAACTCTCGAGAACACCATCACCTCAATCTTTCGCACCTTCATTCTCCTCACACTGTTTCAACGTCAACATTACATCGAAGATCCACGGCCTGGGCTTGATACAACGCTCATCGCTTCACAGCCCTCCATGTCGGACGGCGTCCCTTGAGACATCATGACCAGCCTGCCGATCGTGGCTGGCCGGCGCAGAAGAATTGCAAACATGCGTTCCGTATGGGGTAAGCGATCACCTTGCGGAGATAGTTTTGAAGACCGATGGGCGCCTAGAAGTAGAAGATCGACGGCCCTCTGAGTCTAGAGTTTCCACTCTGGACAACCAGCCTGTTGCCCTTCTTGCTCCATGTTGTCCCGTTCCTCCAGTTTCGGATCCTCGGCCGCGTGGTTGGCAAGCGGAAGATAACCGTTGACGTCGTCGTGGGTCCCCATGCACGAGTTCTGCCATAGTTGGTGTCATGTGTCGTGCGCTTAATACTTGAGTTTTACGTATCGCAACCGGATATAGGTGTTGTATATATAGCGGGATCTTGTAGTCACTTCTCGTGCTCTGGGGGCACGTTCGCAGTCCTTGATATGTGACTCTAGGATCCCCTAATCCCACATTCCGCCGCCCGGCAAAGCGATCCATCCCGTGAAAGCTACTTATCCTCTATTCGCATATCTTCCCCCAAAAGAACGAGAGTATATTCATATGACATACTATCGGTGTAGTAACAAACAACCGTTATCGTGCCCGCAGATCTTGGCGCTGGAACAACCAAACCGATACCGACTTCATCACCTACTTTAATACTCAAATAACTAGCGCTTTGGAGAAGAAGTTCCATACGGCGCGAATATAAAGAAAATCGAAAGCTCGACACTTATCATCAAATTCTTCTTCGATAAACCTCTCGTTGCGAAGCCAAGTTGAAGAGCGGTGATTTTCACGTTAAATACTACCCCGATATTCCAACGGGTACGCACGCAAAGTCCTAGAGAGCGCTAGCGGCAACCCTAACCCCACCTCCCTTCGGAAGGCGGCCCGGTAGCGGGGCAGTCCACCACTAACTCCAAGGTACCCCACCTATTTCTGGGGAGCGCCTAGGTTGAACTCTACATAGGCCAAGGCATTAGGCCTCGAAACTGGGCTTACATTAGATCAGGCACGATCTCGAAGCAGATCTAAGCGCCATCGTCCATGCGAACCTTCACGCGGGCCGTTACTCTATTCCGAGATCTCGGGCACTGGAGTCTTGGCGTCCAGAACCGGGACTTTGCGCGCGCCGACCTCCGTAGAAAGACGTTGTCGGAGTTACCGATTTTCCTTCTTCGGATAGCCCACAGGGGTCGAAGCGAGGCGTGTCCCATTGGTTTTGAAGGCCATGTTTCCAGGGGTCTGGGCTGATCACCCGGGGCTCTACGCAGCCTTAGGTGGTGGGTTCTTGACCGATACCTGACGTGCACATTCGTGCAGGATTAGCCAAGACCGCGGCCGAATTTTTCGTTATGGAACCAGCAGCTTTTCCATCATTGGATCTATCTATAGAAGACGTATTTGTAAATCATTTTATAATATGCGCGGTAGAGTACTGAATGCAAGCGCGTGGAGGAAGTCCCTGAGAAATAAATAACATGAAGAATCAAATACTCTATGGTTTAGTGAAGCATCGTGACTCTCCCAAACTCTCGCTCCAACTGCTGACGCTTTTTATGACCTTACATCACTTCATGTGAACACGCTGTCTAGAATTTATGCTGTGAATCGATCCTGGGGTTCGTGACCAGACTAAGGTTTCTTCTATGTCGTTTTCAGGCTCTCCATGCCGGTTCTTTTCGTTGGCCTGATGTCCAGTGACTTACTGGCTTTGCTGAGGACAGAACGGAGAGGGGACCAAGGCTATATTCTTGCTGTCGTTCAGATGGGCCATGGGTGCGCTGCTGTAGCCGTAGTCCCCCAGGGGGGTGGCCTGAGTTGCCGGCCTACTAGAAGAAAATTCGTTGAATTCCTGGACTGCTGATAGAGACTGATGGTCGTTGGAACCAAATGCTGGTGCAGATGCCAGCGGCGCTTGGAACTGATTTGGTGAGAATGAGGTCGCAATGAGTGTCCTATCAACATTTGACTCAGCAACAGCCATGGCTTGTTGGTTTTCCATACCCCAATTCATCCGGCACGCAATGTAGGCTGCTTCCGCCAGATCTACTGCGCCCTTCTCGTCGTTTGGACCTACTTCAAGATCATTTTGTAATTCTTTGATGGCATCTTCCATCCAGATAATGTCTGGAACCTCCCAAGCCGATAAGGATGCCACTTTGCCCTTCCAAGCTTTGGTCATGCTTGACTGTTGAAGAAGACCTTGAATGACTTTAGTGGCGTCCCATTGATCGATAGTTTGACCACGTTCGAAGTGCTGGATAGCGATATGGCTCAGACGGTCGTTGAAAGTGACGAAGGTACTGATGCAGAAACCACAAGACCAGGCTTGCTTCTCCACTGTGTACTTGAACTTCACTGCGATTGCTTCACCTTGCGACTTAAGGTGAATACCATGTATTTTATTCAAATGGTTGACCATGTCATGCCGTCTTTTGGAGGAAAAGGATTCCGGCGGTCCTGGCAGACACGCTTGAGCGTTGTGCTCTAAGAGGTGATCGTCATGTGGATTTGAAACCCCGCAGAACGCACATTGAGACCCTTGTGGTGTAGCTTCTCTTGGCCCCTTAAGCATGCAGAAGTAGGTCGTATCATGCTCCCTTTCATGTTTCTTCCAGTCGGATTGGTTCTTGAATGGTCTGACGTAGTCGCAGAGGGTACAGTAGTACTTGGCCTTTGCTGAAGGGGGTGGAATAGTCGCCGTAAGAAAACGCTGCGTCAAGGAGCCCTGCGTAAGGGCTTGCTGTTTGGCCTCAATATCAGGTGGGTGGTTGATTGGGCCAGGGGTGCTTGCATCAGACGAGATAGGTTGGACTCCATGCCCTTGGTTGAGCAGCCATTGGTGTATAGGAGGTGAGACGGAAACGTCGTCAATTTCAAAACCGCCTACAGGAAGAGTCAGCTTTGGGTCATGGTGTAGTGCTTCCTTCACGTACTCAGGGTGCGAGCTGAATATAACCAAGCGCTAACGTCGATGCTTGCGCATTGCCTCAAGGCTGCGATAGCTCGGACTTGATCGCGTGTTAGGCATGCGTGATCTGAGCGATTTGGAAGGCTTTGCTCTAGCGATCGAGCAAGCTTGAGCCATGCAAAGATGTTCCCATCATCCTCATCTTTTAGAATCTCAATTGCTTCAATGTGCTGCTCCTGTGTAGGAGCAATGGCAGAGGTGGTTGGAGTGCTGACTAATTGAGTATCGGCCACTTGGAAGCTGCTCTCCTGCATGCGAGGTAAGCTGGGGAAGGCCATTGCGCACCTGCGGATGCAGAAGGTAAGACATGGAGGGCGAAAGCTTTTGTAGACGGAGCATTACTGGCCACGGCCATTGCCTCTCCTGCTGGCTCTACATCTTAGATGGTATGTTAGTTATGGTAAATGAGAAGCGTGGACTACTCGTAAAGCCCTATGCAATGCCTGGTCCCTGTTTTCTAAAGAATATAAAGTAGCGAATGGAAGGCTAGCATTCATGACATTAAGCTTAAGCCAACTTTTTCATCAAGCTAAAAACTCTATTTCACAAGTACTAGCACCCACGCGGTTAGCAAAAAAGCCCGTACACCCTAGGCCGGAAACGGCTAGGAGAAGAGAGGCCCTTCCACATACTAATCCACACACAAATCCACTATTCTTCTCTTATTATCAAGCGCAATGTCGTCACCAAGTCATCATGCCTCTCAGCAAGAATGGCACACTCCCATGAGAGGTGTCGTTTTTCAAGAACGCTTTCAGAATAACAAGTCCTACCGAAAAATCGAAAATGACACCGAAATCCCATTCAACACTGCCCGCGATTGGTGTACTCGTATTCACTAGGATTTGCAATCTACTAGGATTTGCAATCTCTAAAACTTAATCTTTATAAATTATTATTTTATAACATTATAATAAAAAACTCGAAAAAAAACTCTAAAAGAATATAAATTGCGATTTTGATATTTTTAAGAATTTTTAAAATCGAGGTAATAATAATTAATTTATATAATAGCGTAATAAACTTCGATAATTATATCTTAATATATTACTATATAACTATATCAATTTAAGCTTAATTATAAACAAATTAAAATTATAATAATTATATTTTATATTCTTTTAATTTTTTTTTCTAGTTTTAAATTATATTGTTATAAAATAATAAATTATAAGAATTAGATTTTAAAGATTATAAATTCTAGTAGATTATAAATCCTAGTAAATACGAGTATCGAGTACTTAGATAATTTAGATTTATATAAACGTCGTCATTATCATAATCCTTTCTTTAAGAAAAATCGAGGCTGTTTACTACTGATATTAGACGTTTAAGTATAAGAAATAGAGTTAATTTTAGAGATATAAGATAATAATTATACTGTGAAAACTAAGGCTTTAATATGAGAATAACTCGGCTTCGAAGTAGGTCTAGACGTGTCTAGCGATACTATTAAGAGATAGATAGGTGTAATAGACTATTATAAATATATTACGTATTAAAAAGATTAATATAATAGAAATCTCGCTAAACGAAGACTGGAATATACTTATATAATGTTAAAGAGATATCTTAAGTCTAAAGATTAATACTCCGTTCGATTTTCTAACGAATATCATTTTAGCTGAGGTTCATAGAGCAAGTTAAGAATTATTCGAAAGCTCGAATAGAGATACTATTAGAAATGCATACAATATATCGAGAAATCCTCTAAAAAAGAGAGCGAAAAATTTCGATATTACATATAGACTGTAGTTGAATACAACTTTAAATTAGATTTTATATTTTACGAGATACTCGATAATATTAATAGTAAGATGTTAAAAAGAATCTATATTAACTCTATACTATATTTAGTCGCTATACTCTAGTATTAATAAATTAAGCGTAAAAAAGTTAATTCATTTATTTTAAAAGAGGATGGAGATTTAAGATATAATATCGATACTAAGAGTTATATTATTAGAAAGTTAAAGATTAAAGAGAATATTAATATATATAGAGACTATACTTCTTCGTCTAATCTTACCTCAATTAAGAACTACTAATAGCCTTTCAAATAGAATCTATAAAAGTTTCTATATTAGAATAATCGAACTACGAAGTACTATATTATAGATGGCTGGGAGAAGTATATAACTTAGAAATTCATTAACGAGCGTGTAGATAGTATGCCTGAAAGACTTCAGGCTGTAATAGACGATAACGGTCAAATGACTGGCTATTAATGGAGAAAATTAGAAGAATTTCGGTGGGGGAAGGCGCTTATCTCCATATAGTTAGGGTGTACAGAGGTCTACACCGAAAGTCCTGCACATGCGCTAGTGCAGCCCTAACCCTACTTTCGAAAAGCGGCCCTATAGAGGGGAAGCCTAGAAATATCTTCTCACAGCGCATAAATGGGACTTTAGGTACTTCTTTTGACTTAATAGGGGTATTAAATCCCGAAACCTAACTAGAGCTAGATGCGATTCCGAAGAACTCCAGACGTATTGTCTAGGTAATCCTTTAGGTGGGGCGTTATCCGAAGTCTAAGCGCAAGAGTCTTGGCGGGTGCAGGACTTTCGGTGTAGACCTCTATACGGGCTTTTTTGCTACCCGCGTGGCACCCTGCAGCGGGGTGACAGGGGTCGTAATCATCATGACTACTCGTACATTCGAGAAGTGAGCTACCTCGCTTAGTAGTGGCGGGAGAACCCCCTAAGAGCTTTGGCTGAGTGCCAAGACCCTAAATATTAGCGTCGTAGCTTACTTCTCGAATGTACGAGTAGAAAACTAGCGATGCGACCGCCAAGACTTTTGTCTGCTGCAGACATGTCTGCGGACGGTCATTACGGTCACGAATAGGAGGCCTGACAGCTAACCCGATTAGGTAGTAGCTTACACTAGTGTACTACCTTTCGTCTAATATTTTGAGGCTACTTTTCAGGGTTTTTTTTGCAGATTCCAGGGGTTTTGAATTGTTTCTCTACAGGATCTCTGCCCGCAGACCGCCAAGACCTCACTTTAAAGCATTTTCAGCCAATCAAATGGCTTAGTCACGCTCGGAGGAACTTCTATCCGGAGATTACAGAGATTACAGTGCTAACGGCCAAAATGTGGTAATTACTGTCATTACTGTCACGAATACATTCTGATGGTCATCGCGCATCGCTATAGAAAACTCCCTAACCCAGGCGCTGAACTTTTCGGTTAATGAGTTATCCCTTTGACCTTTCCTAGTGGCCGGGAGGGTCACGCTAGTAGGGATCTTTGGACAGGTTCATTGATTGGCTGGATTTGAACCTCTGCTCAAGTTGTACCGCCAATTAGTGCATGTCTCATCAAAGAATAGTCCAACTTAAGCGAAACTTCGATAGAACCTCTAGGAGTGGAGCGTTAAGGAAATATTATGGTTTGACTCATATATGTGGTGTGGTGTAAAGATGTTGATTAATCTATGTGGTCTGCAGGTAGATGTGTGCGGAGAGAGGCGCGCTAAAGCCGAGTGAGTAAGGTATCCGATAAACGCCGAGAGGCAACAAATTGTTTTCTCCGCACTCCGCACCATTATTTCAATTACTATTCCACTATCAGTATATATAACAGAATAAGGTAGAGCTGAGCTTGAAAACCTTGAATTTATATATGCAGTCAATTATTAATTTGAGGTTACTACGCTTTTTAATTAAATCGACTAAATTATCGCGGGTAAATAAATTAGCGTTCGTAATTATCAAAATCTTCCTCTCCCGCGTCTCCCTTATTAAAAATAGATATACGTTATTTACGAATAGAATAACTTTTTTATTTTCTATTAAAATTTTGAGATTTTTTTTTTAATTATAGAGCGTCGTTTGCGCTTTTTAAATTTTTAAGAATTTTAAAATTTAATTTTATAGTTATTAAGAAGCAAGGAGTCTAAATATCGCTTACTAAAGTTCGCTCGATAGCCGGACAGCCCGCTCACCAAAGTTCGCTCATTAAAGATCGCTTACCTATTTACTCGATAGTCCTAATCGAAAAAATAATTATGAATTTAATTTATAGACCTTTACTCGTATTAATATAATTTAATAAATATAGTCTAGATCTATTATATAGAGTTTAATATATTATTTCTTTTATAAAATTATTTTACGTAATTTTCTTTACGATATAAGAAGATCTAATATACTTTATATTTCTCGCGTATCTTAAAAGTATTATTTCTATTTTCACTAATCTCTCGTCTAAAACCTCGATTTAGAATATTATTATAATATATAAAGTACGTTCGAATAGTCTTTAAGTCTTATTAATTATAGTTACCTCGTAGTATCTTTAATAATATAAAGATAGAAGAAAGAGATTTAATCTTACTCGATAGATATTATTAAAGAATAGATATTATTAATTCTTTAATAATTATAAATAGTAGAAAAGTAAAAGATTTTCATATTGATTATAATAGCGACGAAGATTTTAAGCTCCGACACCGTTATAGAGTATTAATAAGAATCGCGAGAACTTTAAGTAGAGGTATATAGATTAATATTATCTTAAAGTATTTCTTAGATAGTAGTAGTCTATATAAGATTAAATATACTATATAAAGTAAGAAATAGATTACTTAAAAGATGACTAATAGCTATCTAATACTTAATTACTATTAATTAATACTCTAAAAGTAATAAAATACGCTAGAGAAGATTATTACGTTTTCTAAGAAATATCTATCTCTTATTAGTTTTCGTAGCTTTTTTTTACTACTTTAAGATTTAATCTAATTCGTTCTTATTAAAAGTAAATAGAGTAGTAATTTAAGATATATTAAATTATTAATAGTAAAGTTATTTAATAATTAAAATAAGATAGCTATTAAATATAAGAGAAGAATCTCGATTAAATTTATTATCTCCATCTGCAAATCTAAAAAGTTTCTATAAAATTTGAAATTGCTAATCGCGCGTTTATCGCGGAAATTATAAAATCCGTCGAATTAGTAAATCTGATTAGAATTCGCTTAAATTTTGCCGATTTAGTAAATCTAATTAGAATCCGTCTAAATTCCGCCGATTTAATAACTATCTTAATCTTTTTTACTAGTTTTATTAGTTTAATAGCAATATATACGAAAAAAGAAAAGTTCTAATAATTAACGTTATAACGATAAGATTCTATAATAACGAGTATTAACGCTAATTTAAATTTAACTACGGAATTAAACGATTTAATAAAATTAGTTATATAGATAATACTCTAATATAGCGTATAATAATACGTATATTATTAA